TTCTTTTTTACAATTTTTTTCTTTTTTTTTAAATTTCTTTTTACAGACACAGAATCTAGATACAGGGTGGATTTTTTTTGGTTTTTTTTTGGTTTTTTGTTTCTTTTTTTTTCGGGGGTTAGTTTTTAAGTTTCTCATTTTCTTGGAAGACTTGAGAAAAGGAAAAAATTCCCACTTAGGACAGTTAAAAAAATAATTACAATTTTTAATTTTCATGATCGTTTTTAAAGATAAATTATTTTTTAAAACATTTCTTTAACACCACTACATTCATCATTTCGTCCATCTTTGGACCAGATTATAATTTCTTAAATACTCTCTCTTTTCCCTTTTTTACAACACAACAAGGTCAACGAGTGCGTCATTCACCATGAGCACACACATCATCCAACACACATCTCTCAAGACTCACTTTCACAGGACACACTGGACCCAAAGCCTGGTCAGACAAAGAACACCCACCAGCCTCCCAAAAACATGAGCCAGCACAACTAGCTCTTACCCCGTCAAAAGTTCACGCCTCATTTTCACTTCCCATAAAACCTCTAGCTCCTAAATCAAATTTCTTACTTGACACATAAACGTTGAAACATAACGGACATTCTCTATCCTAACATAACCTGGAGGACAGGAATCCACTCTCTTACTGCTGTGAACACAGCCATACATCCACAAACATCCACATTTTGCATTGCTCAGTTCTTAGTAAGCCTTCACATGCTTCTGTAGTTTATAATTCATTTGACTTTTTCTATGGTAGATGAAACAGTGTATCTACAAGATGACGCACGGTCAGTGGAAATAATGTGGCATTATCATCATCATTATCTACTATTACATACATATATGTGTGACATATGGAGAGACAAGTATATTATGATATTGGCATCCCTCTAGCAAAACTGTGCAACAAATCCAGAGGGACAAGATAGCTCTGAGCTTCCTCATTCTGTGATGTAAGCAAGTTTGATGGTGATAATGGCAGGCAGACGGTCAGTGACACACTGAGAGACACACGGAGGTCTCCCCACAGAATGGCTTCCCTCTGACACCATCACCTGGGTCAGGCTACACAATGAGAACTGGGTCAGAGACCCACAAATAGTTGACCCCATCCCATCATAGACGGGCCAATAGAGGTCTCAGAACCAGTGACAAATTCATCATCTAGGACATCTATAGGACAAGTTTGTACAACAAAAACATCCAAACAGAAATGGACGATGTGGAATCTATGAAAGTTCTGGGTGCATCACTAGGTCCCGACCTGCACACAGGGTGGGGGGAGACAAGACTACTTCAGCGCTTAGAT